CACTTGCGAGGCAGGTGGCAAGACCACTGAGCCAAATTCCCAGGCCTGGTTTATTGAATTTTTTTTTCCTCATTGAGTTTATTGCTACTTTTTAGGTACACAGTACAGTTCCATTCATCATTGGGATCTTGTACCTTTACATGACAGGTCTTGGTTCTCATTTTTTCCCCGTGTGTCATATATTTTTAACCCTTTTCTAGTTCTGCATTTCTACTTACCTCTCTGATCTTCTTTGCCTCTTTATTCACATATAAAGTGTTTTCTATTCATCAGGTACCAACCGTCAAAGGGAAGAGCTCATTCAAGGGCAGCATTCATCATTGGGATCTTGTACCTTTACATGACAGGTCTTGGTTCTCATTTTTTCCCCGTGTGTCATATATTTTTAACCCTTTTCTAGTTCTGCATTTCTACTTACCTCTCTGATCTTCTTTGCCTCTTTATTCACATATAAAGTGTTTTCTATTCATCAGGTACCAACCGTCAAAGGGAAGAGCTCATTCAAGGGCAGAGGGTGCCAGGTTAGCGATGGTGGGAACTCAAACTTTATATTGAGAGCAACAGAATTGGAGGGAAGGATGCAGCACAAAACGGAATTTGAATTTTAACACTCTGCAGTGGGACACAGCACGGTGGCAAGCTCAGAGCAAACAGGGCACAGGTCTCCTCAGGAGACACAGAAAACCGTATTTCTCAATGCTCCTGCATAGTGGCCATGAGATAAAACAGCAGCACCGAGGGAAAGCTGCAGGCTGAAGGAACAGGCCTTGGTGACTGAGGAGGACAGTAGGGCCAGGGGGATTCTGGCTCAGACGGGTGCACTGAGACAACGAACAGATTCTGGGGTGCAACCGTCTTCTACAACTTTCTCCTTTTCTTTCTTCAAGTTCTACTATTGATTTTAGTGGAAATGAGTGAAACTAAACATCATGACTCCAGCTAACTAGAGTTTGTCCGATTTAGATCAAGCGTTTGACACCTGCAAAGTCGCTGAATATTTACCTTGGGCCCGGAGCTTGGCCAGCTCTTCGCTAAGGGAGTCTTGGGACTCTTCCAGCTGTCTCCGCTTTTGTTCCATGTTTTGCATGTAGTCTGTCAAGGATTTGATCTTGGCTTCATGCTTCAACAAGAAAACAAGTCAAAGAGAAGAGTGACTGACTGGCAAGTGGCACGCCCAGCCTGCCTGGGACTGTAGGATAGTAAAAGACAACAGAGAAGATGCTCTTGTGCTCCCGTCCTGAGCACCAACACCAAATGGTGCATATTCTGTTTGCCCTAGATTTGAAGGAACCAAAGCCCACACTGGTTTTCCTCCTCATAGATAAATGTGCTGCTTGGCTGGGGTTGTAGCTCAGTGGCAGAGCACTCACTTGGCATGTGCAAGGCCCTAGTTTTGATCCCCAGTACTGGGGTGGGGTGTGAGGGCAGGGAAGAGAAGGGGCTAGAAAAATGTCCAGGCTGAAGGCCTCATTTTCTGAACACGTACCATTAAATTCCACCTTCAAATATTGTATGTTTTTCTTCTTCTGTCCTTCAAACACTCCAACGCCTGTCTCAACGCCTGTCTCAAGGACTTTGCATTCTACATTTCCCTCTTTCTGAGCAGTTTCCTTCCCACCAGTACCCCCAACACACACACACACACACACACACACTCATGTACACGCCTCCTGGCTAGCTTATCACATATACCCCAACATTTTCTTATAGCACTTGTACATGATTTACTTTATTTCTTTTTGCTTGTTAGCTCCGTAAAGGAACAGAGTACACGCTTCAGAAATATCAGTGGGAATAATAAATGAATGACGAGTGCATGGAGCTGAGTGGCTGAGCGGGGACCTGGCAGCTCCTCGCCAGATGGAACGTACAGCACGCTTCCCCATCAGCTCCAGGGAGCTCACTTTAGGCAAGAAGACCCTGCACTGTGTTCTAATGACATAAGTTCTTTAGGAAAATACACTTCAGTTGGAGCAATTATTTGGTAAGGATAGCATTTGGGAAGACGATGGGTACAAAGAAGACAGCATTTATGCTGGAAATATTCTGACAGATCTTTAGATCATATCAGAAAATAGATCTAAAGTTTCGATGTTTTCAACCCCAGGAAATAACTACTGAATTCTTGACTGTGTGTAAATCACAGCACAGCACGAAATCACACCTAATGGAAAACTGCGTTTGTCACTAACATAAAAAGACCTTTCTAAGTTAACCCCCAAACCTCCTAATCTTCTTGACTCAGATCTCATGTAGCAAAGTCAGTGTCACCATGAAGTCGGGCCGCGGGTCCTCATCCATCTACACAGAGTACCGCGGACCCGGCCCCACAATTCCGTCACAGGTGGGAGAGGGACATGGAGCCAGCGCGTCCGGCTGAGAGAGGAAGACCCTGCCACCACGGCCTCTGCTCGTGCCCTTGCCTCGGCCCCCAGATGTTACGGACACGACTGCCCAGAGTGCACGCTGCTGGTGTCACGGGAGATCTAGAGGCGGGAACTGAGGCGCGCTGCTCCCTGAGGTTTACCGCTTTTCTTCTCCATTGTCATTAGTTATAAAAATGTCTTTATAAATGACAATAATCATAAATTATAAAGCATATAGCAAGTCTAGAAAAGTAGTATAAATTTCACCCAGCAACCACTCACAGTTATCACCTATTTTCCCTTTCTATGCCAGGCCTTAGCTGTGGAAAAATATATTTTTTAAAGCTGCAAAGCACAGCATAGATATAAGTGCACATTTTCATTTTCACTTAACTTTATGTAATTATATTTTCCAAATGGCTAGGTTTTATAGATTTTTCATAAGAGCGTCATAATATTCTTCCATGTAGCCTTCTTATTGGTCTATCAATGGACAGCTGGGTAATTTATTTTATTACATCATAAAATCACGCTGTATTCAACAGTTCTCATGTAAGCATTTAATACTTTTAATCAAGAAATGATAAAGTATACAAAAATAAATTTTTTCATTGTCATTACCAATAAAAAATAGTATAAGTGAAATCACTGGACCAAAATGTGCTTCCATTTTTATGGTTTTGTATTTCCCAGATGTTTCCAAAAGGACTGGCCAAATTATACAACACATAAGTTCACTGTCACACAGCAGCACTGAATAAACCTTTTCAGTGCCTTTGTGCCTATTATATCAATTATCAAATTGAACCTGGTCGTTCCATTTTAGACAAGACAATTAGAGATGTTTCTGTGACTACTTATTATTATGCCTAACAATATATCTAAATGAAGCATTTTTTTGTCCGACTTTCAGGATAGTTTGACGCACCAGCCCATGTTGGTATCACTGGCGGTTTTCATGTTTGTTATAAAGCAATGAACTCCACACAATTGAGCCAGTCATGCAAAATTCAGACCCAAATGGAAAGCTTAGATATCCCTGGAACCTCAAGAAACTGAGTTGCTGTTTGCTGAAACTACCTTCCTAAAATGAAAATGTCATTCCAATGGGAAGAAGAGAAGTTCTGTTCACTGAGCACATAAAATGTAGCCTTTGGCTTGAAAAAACCCTGAAGACATAAGCTTAATGTTCAAACACTTTGGTTTGGGTCCCAATTTTACCATTACTCACTGGCTACATATGTTTAGACAATATATTTAATCCCAGTCCGGTTTCCTTATTGGGAAAAGAGGAACAGTAATAAAACCTGCCTACCGAGACTTTTTTAAGATCAAGTGAGATAACTCATGTAAATTGCCTAGCACCATGTATAGCACACAGTAAACAGTAACATTTAGCTGCTGCCACTACTTTAATATCATTAATAATACTTTTTAATGAGTCCAACACTATGATTAGCATAATAAATAATGTTAAAATTAGTAGCAGCAGTAGTTTCTGTATCTGACACTGTACCTGTGGTATAGAGTAAAACATGTAGAAATGTTGATAGGAGTTTTACAGATTCTACCGATCTTGCCCATACATCATTCTACTCTAGTCAGCTATCCATCCATCAAGAGATGGAGAGAGAAAGATATACTCTTCAAAAAGAAAGATGACTCAAGAGAATTCACAGAATTCATACAGCAAAATCTAGCCTGAAGAATAAACGCGGGCTGCCACTGGCCGAGGAGCCTGTGCTTGTGTAACACGAAGTGCACAAACCATCGGGATTCCCCAGACGTCACGGCGAGGTGAGGGAAAAGCACGGCCCACCTGAGAGATGAGCAGCTGGCAGGCTGCCAGCTCCCGCTCGCTAGCATTCATCTTCCTGTTGGAGTCCATCTGGGCACTCTCAAGCTGTTTGCTGCGGTTCACCAGGGACTTGACTTCCGACTTCATCTTGCTGATGTACAGGCGGGCCATGGTGAATTCCTCTTCAATGACTCCGTTCACATCTGCCAACTGAGCACAGGAGGGAACACACTCAAATATTGCCTACAGATAGATAGACAGATAGATATTTTACCTACCTTCAGGTATGACTTAGAGTTTTAGTTAAGAATCTCTAATCATAGGGGAAGGTGAAAATTACTATACATTCAACCCCCAATTCTCTGGAATCATGGGTAAAAATGCCAACAGAAAACCTCTGCCAAATATTATTTTCAATTAATTAGATATTTATTGCAATTGATTTGAAGGATTAAAGAAATGACATCCAATGAAAACACTGAAGAATTTAAAAAGAAAATAACTCTGAAGAAGTACTCTACTCTGTCATACATCTCCGTGATAGCAATGAGATCTGTTCCTACAGAGAACCCTTAATCCCTATAAAAATTCAAGCATTCGCCATATTCTGCTTATTCAGGGGGAGAAACAGTCTAATGCTTTGAATGTTTCTATTTTTAAAATAACTGAAATAAAAAAGACTTTCTACATAGTCTTCAAACAATCTAATGAATAGGAATGTACTCTTCATTCCAAAGCCTCCTTTTGATGAAGGTTTTTCTATGCATGACTTTTCACTGCTGTCAATGTATTTTTTCTTACTTTTTCATGCCTGTTTTTCCAAGCACTCAGTTGTCTTGCTAATTATTTAGGATCATTTGAAGAACATCGGTCTAAGTTTACCTAGAAAATTTTGAAGGTACTCCTGCATTTTGTATAATTGGTTGCTAATTTTCAGAGCTCTACTGGAAATAAAAACTGTAGCAAGATATTTGGGACAGAAGCCCAGTTACTTAAATGCAGTTACTGTACACGTGAGCCCCGCAGGGGCGACTGATCTAATGAACCAGTAACCGTGTGCATACTTCGATTGACCACCAGAGGGCAGCCTTGCACCTCAGGAAAAGACAAAGCGCTAGCCACACTCTAGTTGCTGGAGGCTGGCTCCAATTGGCTCAAAACAATGACACCAACTGTAGTTTTCGTACAGTATACTCTTACTGCCCAATTGTGTCACTGTCATCATCAACTCATTATATTAACTATTTTTTTAGTAGACATTTAAGAGCTACTAACATAAAATTGAGTATCATGCTTGAAAATTATTAGCCAATAGGAAGTACACTGGACAGTGTTAAGTACTGCAGCACCCAATTTCCCATCATAACTATCAGCGACGGTACCTATTAGTGATGTCAACATCAAGCAATAAATGCAGAATCACTGTTAACAGTAATGCAACACAAGGACCAGCTGTAACTCTTTCCATCATGAATGTTCCAGCTAAGCTAGTCAGTTGCATGTGTATTTCTGACTGCCAAATATTTTCCTACCGATACTGCTCTTCCTTACATTGTTTTTTCAATCCAACAGCACAGACATACAAGGTGAGAAAAGTCTGAAGTTTAAATTTAGTTTTGTTCTTCTGTCTCTATCATTGGCCCAGCAGGGAGTGAGGATGAAAATCACCGTTCCCCGACCAGCTGTATCCCATACTTGGCTCTGCTTCTGGAGAAAGATAAAGAGTATCCATGCTCTCCATGTGGAACTCACTGCTCTGGTGGGAAAAGGCCACTGCGCCAACAGCTTGGGCACCCTAGAAAGAAAACAAACCCCTCTGCTCTAGGGCTGGCAAGGCCAGGCCCCAGGTAAGCAGAGGATGAGTAAATATATACCCATAAAATGATGGGATTCCTGCAAAGTGAGAGCCAGGCAGTTCTTCCTCCCAAAAGGGACCATGACTTCTTAAGCTTACTTTGTCTTAGAAGGTCTAAAGGAGACTAAGTCTGTGCCTGATGAGAAAAAACAATATGCCAAATAAATGGTTTCTGACTATGAGATTTCTTACCACTGCAAAGTTCATAAACTTAGTGGTTTCATGTTCAAGAGTTTCCAGCAATTCCAGGACACTGGTATTTCACAAAGAATGATCAGAGTTTGCTACCAAAATGTTATTCTAACTCATGAAGGACTGACAACGCAACCAGCTGTATGTACAAGGCAGTGTGATCCAGGACCAATGACCAACACAGCAGAAAAGACCACACCATCAGGAAATCCCAGTGAAAGATGCGCCTGCCCCTTCCACCCGGTGCAGAGAGGGAGTCACCCCTGCCTCCTCTCTAAGTCTCCAGAGCATAAAGTGATTGTGCAGTACAAGGAACTAATGCCACTTCCAAGGCAAGTGAAAGGTAAGTGAGGGGAGTGTTCACATTCTCAAGCATGAAAGTCAGAAAGGGACAAAGAGAAGTCAGCACGACTCCAAAGAGAAGCAGTCAATCCAATGCATTTCATTTATTCTACCTCAAATTTAACTTACTATTATTTTTATTGAAACGTAATAATTATCTGTATTTTCTCACTTTTCTACAGTTTGTGGCTAGACTTCTAGATACTTTTGTTTTAACGTACACCCAGCAACACAAGTATTTGAAAGAGGGGCTCATTAATAAGATAAAGCTAACACTGGGTTCGTCTTGTTCCGTGGACTAAACAAAACACTGCCTGGATCCTAATATGTTTCAAGACTGAACTGAGGTAGGGAAATATGGAGGGCTTTGTAGTTGTTATTTCCTGGGAAATAACAGTGTTTTGTTAAGTATCTATAGCTATAATGATAAACATAACAAATACGTGTAGAAGTCCTGTCATTTCTGAGCTGTTAAGCTTTGAGATTTTTATCTGGGCTCATCTCATCATTTAACAAATTAGGAAAATGAAGCAGAAGTAACACATTAACTTGCCCAAAATCATGCAACTCTTCTGTTAATTTCACTGCCCTAACAATTAAATCACAATTATAAGAAAAAAAAAACACAAAACATTTTAAGAATATGACTCTTTATAGGTGAGAGTTATCAATAAAATTAACTAGGGCATAGAGCCGGGCGTGGTGGTGCACGCCTGTAATCCCAGAATTTGGGAGGCTGAGGCAGAAGGATCACCACAAGTTCAAGGCCAGCTGGGGCTACATAGTGAATTCCAGGGCAGTCTGAACTGCATAGTGAGACCCTGTCTCGAAAATCAAAAACAAAACAAAACAACAACAACAAATTAACTGGGGCACTCACTGTCTAGAATCTTAATCACAAAAACATCCAATTGAGTATTTAAAAATAATCTCAACCATACTTTGGATTCCCAAAGGTAAAGACACCTTTTTAAATGCCAGAGCACCCAGACACTCTGATTTCATTAGCATTTTCATCAGCACTATTTTAAAACACAGCATAAAAATACCTTCCTTTATCATTAACTGCAGCAGGCGCCAACATCCCATAAATCAACACCACCTTCATATTGTGAGAGCCATTTAATCAACCCAATGTCAGCATTTTATTGCTCTACACCGACATATGGTTCTAAAAATTAAATCCTCAAATATAAAACCACCAAACTGGAACTTAATAGGTTTAACCCTATAGCAGCTGAATGTAGCATATTTATAGTATATAACAGAGTACAGAATTCTGTGCTAAATTTAAATTCATTCACAAGGATTCATGAAATGTTCAGTTACAATAAAAGTGCCTTGTAAGAATGATTACCTCCCCGAGAGGTTACTCAATCTGAGCCTAGACCTGACACAACATTCACAGGCTACTTTACTTTCTCAGAAGTGGTCTATAAATGGAAACCTAACCTTGAGAGCCTTTTCTAGAATTAAATCCTAACTCACAACCTGAATGTTCCCACTAAGCAAACTGGTGGAGAATTCAGCCTTGTAAAAAGCAAAATGTCCAAACTAAAAAAATATCCATTCCAGAGATTTGTGAGAAGGTAAGCAATCCAACACCACTTCCCAGCTTGACAAAATCAACATACATTTATCAATAACTACACAATTCAAGGTAGATTATTTCAAAGCCATGGTCATCAAAGTACTGTGTATTGGCTTAAAGGACAGACACCAGATACAAGGGCCGGGAATTTGGCTCAGTGGTTCCACTGTCTGCCTCGCAAGCGCAAAGACCCTAGTTCGATCCCTGGTACCAAAAAATAAAAAAAAAAGAGAGAGAGAGAGAGACCAGATACAGCCCCACATGCTTTTGGGGCTAGTGGAAATGCTAATTTTCTTAAGGGCTGGTGATGGTTTCATACATATACAAACATGTCAAACGTTCCTAAACTGTCTACTTTAAATACATGAAACTATTTTAATGTCATTTAGACCTTAGTAAAACTTTTTTAAAATGTCTCCACTTTATTTTTGTAGTTAATGATATTGACTTCTCTATAATTTTAGCAAATTGTCAGCTATTCTTGGCTAATAGTATTTTTATTTTCTTTTTTCCCTCCAGCCTCAGCTTCTGGAAAGCTTTGTATCACCCTTATTCCCCCCACCTCTCTTCCTTACTATCAGGAAATCCTGTGTTTAGAACTCCAGGGGATTAGTGATGATCATTTTGAGCTGATTCTAGTAAACCTATTCTTTTTTCTGCTTTCCCAGCTTCCCTTTCCTAAAAGTTTGGTTTGGTCATGAATCCAGTTCTGGCCAGTGAGGTATAAGGGTAGGTGTACTAAGGACTTAGGGAACATATTTCCCTCCTGGATGAAAGTAATCAGCCTTTTTAGCCCACCATGCTTAGGAAGTGGTTGAGTGTGGATGGAACGACTGAAGTTATACAGCTGTCTTGCTACCATGACAGAAAAATAATAAGGATACTTTTTGTAAAATAGGATGAGGACAGCAGAAATGAAATAGAGAAAAGGGCTGGGTGCTTGCTGCTGAGCCACTTCACTGAATCAAAATCTGCTTCTCAAACTTTAGTAGGAATCTTGTTAAAATGCAGATTATGGTGTAGTGGGTCTGAGGTGGAGCCCCAGAGTCTTTGCCAGGAAGTCCCCAGGGTTGTAGATCACACTGAATACGAGACTCCCGACTTTGCATATTGTGGATAATTAACTGGGCTTTTATTTCTTAAGCCACTGTTACAATCCCATTACTTTCAGCTGCAAACTTCCCTAATTCATACTGATTTGTCTGAGACTTTTCACTGCACTGGGTTCTTATGGAAAACAAGCAATATTCTGAGACTAGAACTGTTACGTGAGCAATCTAATTCCAAACTTCTGTGACACTGGCAAATAAGACTGAGGAATAAAACAGTTGACATAAAGCTAACCAAGATCTGAAGATGGTCCCTAAATTTGAAAGGCAAATTCTTTTTCTCACCCTCACGGGGCGACACTCAGTCAGTCAGTCCTTTTCCATTCATCCCAATATTTCCCGGCATGTGGCCCGTGCTAAACCCCCGATTCTTAAGAGAATTAAATGTAACTCAGGATAATAGCAAGAATAGGTAGAGAAGATAAAGGGATAAGGGGGCTGCTTACAGTCTTCACATCATTGGTGCCAATAATTCCACCTATCTCCCCCAGATCCTTCAACAGCAAGTTCAAGATCTCAGTAGCTCTCTTTTTCTGGTGGTTGCTAAGCTCCTGTAGCTGGCTCAGCTCTCTCTGTGTGGTTGTCAGTGTAGTCTGAAAAAACAAATTCCAACCACAAATTAAAAGGGTTGCCCATCAATTTCAAACATACAATATCACAAAGTATAGTAGCTTTGTGTACGATGGATTTCTTTTACCATTTTCCTGTGCTTTCACAAGTCTTTTTAAGGCAGACTGTGATGTAACACTGCCTTCTTCGATGAAAAGAGGAACTTCATATTAACAAGTATTTTGTACTGCCAGATATATTATGTTTACATCAGATGATAACTTCCAGGTCAGTGAAATAAGTCATCAAAAGCATCCTAAAATGGAGCACCTCGATGAATATCTTCACTCACCTCTCCCTGCCCACCAGATCTTCTGCTTCAGTTCACTTTGTATAGTTCAGGGTCTAAACGTAGCTACAAGTGCTCCATTTCCCCTCTCAAAGAACCCTGGTCTCTGGGCCACTTTCAAATTCCCACCTATTTCATAATAATGAGTAGATCTCAGATAACATGGCCCAGAGAAACTCTAATGAGTTTAAGAAACAATTTAGAAAACTTTTCTAATCTTCAGTGAAGTTGAATTAAACATTATTTATCTTTTCTCAAAATTAGTTGAGCTCAAAAATAGCTTCTCCATATACAGCAAACTCATCTCTTTTCCATCCTTCATGCACATGACCAAAAGGTATATATTTTTACTAACTCTTGACATCAACAAAAGAGCCATCTTTTGATGTCATGGTATAAACTTCACCAAAAGGACCTAATTCCCCTACTCCGAAAGCTGAAGAGCTTCATTCAAAGGTATTTATTCAATTCTCCCATATAAAGCCAATTTATTAGCACATTTTTTAATGAGCTCACTAAAAATAGTACTCTAAACCAGTCTACAAATATTTTGGCTTGAGAGAAAGTAAGAACTCCATTCTGGAAAGTGTTTCATTGTTTTGAAAAGCAAATACCTAAAGTTTCCTGCAGAAAACACTAAGTAGAAAAGATATGTCTCCTTTCCTAAGTGGTTTCTAGGTGGATCCATTTTGTTTGGTTTGGCATTGTCAGCAGCCATTTCAAGCCTTTTAAATCCCAGCAGCTGTCCCATCTTGGGAAGCCATTAGAAAGGTCTTCCTTCGTATAGCTGAATGTATGAAGCGGGTGTCATTTCCTATCAGCTCCACGGGTCGGCAAGACAATTCTTTCCTGCCCTATCTGCTGCCTCTCCTTATCCAGAAGGACTGGATGTTTGTCACAAAGTGGGCTGGCCATGCTCCCATGACTCTAGGCCACTGGGCAGAGGTGCCCAAGGCAGCAGGTTATAGCCACCAGCTTCTCCACCGCCCACTTTCTGAGGAGGAAAAGACACAGCCACTGCCAGCCACCTTGCCCAGTGCTCACTGGACCTGCGGCCTGTCCCGGTTTGCTGCACAATACCCGCCGCACCTTTCACTGAGAGAATGTGAAAATGAGGAGAGGCGCAGACTGAAAGCCTGGATTAAAACAGGACAGCAAACAGGGACAGCTAAGTACCTAGCTCCTAGCGGATAACTACGAGAAGAAGCTGAGGGGACGGGATCTCCCTCAAGAGGGAGTGAACAAGAATGAAGTTCATTCCTTTTGTGGACGCCCCGCTCTCACCCAATCGTAACAACACTTCAGGATGAAGTACTGATGTTGTCGTATACACACAGGTCGGTGCTGAGGGCTTCCCATAAACTGTTATTACCAAGGAGCATGTTACTACGGTGTTTAGAGGTAAAATAATCAATATTCAAGAAGTTCAACTGTCTTGATTAAGGCTTCAAAGTTATGAAGTCAAAATTTTAATTAGGACTTTTCTAGCTCCAAAATTTGCACTCTCTTTGTTTTCTACATGGCATCCCTACCATTGCTACAAATTCTCTGCATGTAAAATAGTTGTGACATGCAGTTCCAGGACAAGTGGACAAAAGTCATTTCTAGAAATTATTCAATTATTTAAGGGACCTCAGGAAAGTTTAACACGGGCTAAGCAGTCAGTCAACTGAATTCCTATACAGCATCTGTCAACAAACATCAATACAAGTACAAAAGTGGCAGCCAAGGAAGTCCCACCCCCCAGATACAAACGCTCCAACCGTTTTCTGGGCCAGCTCATCTGTCAGCTGCTCATTGGCCCTGGTCTTATCCTCCACCTCCTGCGACTTCTGGTCGTAATTGACAGCCAGCTCCTCCAGGGCCTGGAGAACTTCTTTCACCTCATCTTTGGCAGCTTCATTTTCAATCTGGAGACGGGTCAGCTCCTCCTGGATCTTCTCATAGTCTCTTCTCGTGGAAGCTAAAAGCTAAGGAAATGAAACCAGTGAATCTTCTATTTAAATGTTTATCATTTGTGCTCTATCCAAAACAAATTTAAAATCAGATATAAGAAAACAGTTTGGAAAAGTTAACGGTGACAGGAAACCCTACTTTCTGTATATTGCAGATATTAGGTTTACTTTTGAAATTATTTTTAAAAATCTATTCTTAAACAACCAGAAGAAAAAGAAACAATGAAAATTGTTTTTTTCCCTTTTAGTTTGAAGCTATATATGCTTAAGTCAAAGAATAAATTACACATCAAAAATCAATGTACATTGTAGCTGGCTAGTTATTCCACATTGCAAACATAAGACAGGGAATCATTTCAGAGTAGTTTCTACAAAACTACTTATGTAGATTTTTAAAATATTGTTACAATTTCACATTGTAAACAGGTTGATTTCAAAGTTAACCAAAACTGTATTTAAAAGGGCCGGGATTTAGCTCAGTGGTTCCACCACCTGCTTCACAAGCGCAAGGTCTGAGTTTGATCCCCACACCAAAAATAAATAAATAATATAAATAAAATAAAATAAAATAAAAGGCAGTCAATCGTTTTTTTCTTAAAGTGCATCAAGAATATGTAGAACGACTTACCCCAATACTAACACTAGTGAAAAACAACACCTAGGCATATGGATGCTTTCATTATGTTTGTTCCTAATGTTATTTTTTGATTTTCCTATAACGAATAGAGATATTGCTTTGATAGTATAGGAAAGGAAAATTATTAAAGATTTTGACCTACAATATATAAAGGACACATAGCCGGGGATTTAGCTCAGTGGTGCTGCTGCCTGCCTCAAAATCAGAAGGTCATGAGTTTGATCCCCGATACAAACAAACAAACAAACAAACAAAGGGCCAGGGATTTAGCTCAGTTGCTTCTCAAGTGTAAGGTCCTGCGTTAGATCCCCAGTATCCAAAAAGCAAAAAAGAAGTATATCCCAAGCAGCTGTACCAATGCTGGGGATGTGAAGGAACAGAATGAGAGTCAGAGGGCAGAAAACACTCAGCCAGGGGAAAACCTCAAGTAAAAATCAGTTAAATATGCAGCGAAGTCTAACACTGAATGTTACCAAGGGAAGAGTCTGGGCAGAGGACACAATCACTGCACTGAAGAAATGAAGGGTAACAAGGAACGACAGGGAGAAGAAGGAAAACAGTTACAGGGACAGTTACGTCTGTGGACGGCTGAGGCTGGGGACATCAACCCAAAGCCATCTGCTCTCATCGCCTCATGTGACCCAACTCACAGCATTTTAGCAATGAAACAGAAAGCACCAAAACCGGAAAAACACTTAGATGACCCTCAGCAGGGGAATCACTAATTATCAAGGTCTGATAGATCGGTCGGCTGTCTTTTGTTTAGGTTCCGTTTGTAAAATACTTGACAAAAATAGAATGCAATAAAGACGTTTACTGAAGAACTGAATGCCGTCAGGAGAGACTGAAAATGATCTGCCTCCTTTTTAGAGTATCAAATATATGCTCACGCAGCAGGGCCCCTTTTGTCTTTGCTCTCCCCTCGTCTACCTTCCACATTTGATTTGGGTTTGGGCTTGTCTTTTCCCCTCACGGGACAGCAGGAGAACATGGTCCCTGTTAAAGACCAGAACCAGCTGATATGTGGAGGTGAAACAGCCACATGCAGTGGTGGAGTTGAGGAGGTAGAGCCATTCTTTCTTGCTCAGACACCAAGACAGAGGTCTCTGCTTTTTCAAGACTAAGTATAACAAGCAGCTGTTTACTCTGAAAACTCCAGACCTCTACAAAGTCAAACATTTGTAAATGTCTAAATTCAGCCCAAACCGGCTTTTAATGGGCATTGAAGGGAAATCTACCAAGATATTTCCAAATGATTCAGTGATTTTGAAAACATTCTTAGCAAACTGAATTTCTGGAACAGACATCGACTACAGAGTAATAAACTTTGTAGAGAAGAATTTACTGCATTCTTTACCTCATCCTGATCCAACATCTGTTGCTTTAGCTTTTCAGCCAGCTGGCTCTGTTGGTTAATTTCATCATCCTGAAATGAAACATCATGTTTAATTTTCTTTGTTAGTTATGTCAGTTTTGATACCCTAGTTTTCTGAGGATAGCAAGACACTAAGATACCAGTCATAAGAGATCAAGAATCAGAGAAACAGGGCATGGGAACTGCAAGGGATTTTGGAGGTTTCTCTCCAGTTCAAAGATGCTAACAAGGAATTTCTAATTCAAAAATTAAGCAGGTGAACCTCTAACCATCTGTGCTGTAATATACTAACGTCCCAGATAGGGTGATGTCCCAAACACATCAGTGACCAGGAATACTGCCACAGGATGGGAAAGACACATTTATTTCCACATCAAATCTTTTACTTAGAAAGACTGGAAAAGTCATTTACTAAAGAGTTTATCTTTGCATTGTCAGATCTCCCTCTTGACTGGAAGTTAATTTTCTTACCAATTTTTTAAAACTGTGAAGGCAGCTGGGGAGCACAGTGTTAATGCTTACTTCCCAGGCTGTTGCTGACTTGGGAGGTGCAGTGTGCTCTCCTTTCCTTTCTGCCACTAGGTGTTGCTGCCACAAAAGTTAAGACAAGTCCTTGCCCACCACTCCCTGCGGGCACCAATATCTTGGCCTCTCCCTCGATACCATCCTCCCCAGCGCAGGCGATGATGGCTAACTGCATGAAATACTCAGTCTTTGCTGCAACACTTTTACCATTTCAAATGAAATTTTAAGCACAACCTATGAAAAAATGATAGCCTGGCTTCCATTTGCCTTGTTAGAAATAGGAGAAAAATTCTGTTTGATGACACTTTTTGGATCTATACCCCAAGCAGAGTCAAATCCAGTTCTGTATTATTCAGTTCTTCTTTGTGTCAGGTCCTGCTGAGGTGCTCTCATCAGCAGCCCATAAAAAGCCCCCGTATTATGCTTTCTGCCCTTCCCACAGGTCAGGTAAGTGAAGCCGGCCTATGTAACTACGTCAGTTTTCCATGGGTGGTCCCCAGCCTGTTTGGTGGCACCTATACATATGTTTGAATCAGGTTAACTCAGTGTCACAAACTAATGCTTTCCAAAGAGCAAGAATATTATAAAATCGGTAGTATAGGCTCTGCGTCTCCTTCTCTTTTGTATAGACCATTCTTTGCCTCCTCTGCTCAAAAAAATCTTATTTCCAATGATTTTTTTTATACCAATATTTCTACAAAAGACTGATGCCATTCCTCCCTAAATCAGATTCCTGGCAAGAGAATCAGGGAAATTACACCAGAATGAAACCAAGAGGGAAAAAAAAGGTACTTCTCCAACCAACAGACTATTTTGTAAGACATATTTCTCTTCTACTTTAGAGATTTTGCATGTCAGTTACCAGAAACAATTTTGTGTTTGTGCTTCTCAACACATAAATATTAAACAACTTAACATAAAAGACCCAAGGAGTTTAACATCAGGGAGCCACCATCTTTCCCCACTGGGACAAATGAACAACACTCCAAGAGTTAGAAATATCGAGAGAAAAGAAACAGTGGTGTGAACTCTTTGTTCTTCTACAGTACTCATTTCAAAGCCTGAAGACTCGGGCTTCCTCCTTGACAGGTGACAAGCTGGGATTCTGAAGGTACAACAAAAAAAAAACAAAGGCCCCTGGCCCAACCTTGAAAAGATGAAGAACAAAGATAAGGATACAATGTGCTGAAGACATTTCCCAAACTGCATTTATCCTTTATGAAAGCATCTTCCTAGGGAATTAGTATGGTTTGTGGTTTCCCTTTTTTTTTTTAATTTCTCAAAATGTTCAGAACAAGGCACGCCACCTGTTCTGTATCTCCATGGGTGAGTGGATGTCTTAGGACACGTTTAAGCATGCTCATTCTGCCGCCGACTAATCAAGATCTAGTTCATGGGTAACAGATTTCAAAACACTTTTCAAAAAATAAATTAGGAGCTGAATTTCCTTGTACATGAAATAGTATGCATAACCCCAGCTGTCAACAGGTCACTGGTCAACTTTAATTATTAAAATGTTTTGTTGCAATGGTAATCAGTGTAAGAAGTAATCTAATTATACTTCAACTTAACTTTTCTTGGATTTTCAATAGTGAGGTAGTATCAGAGAAGTAACTAGAAACAGAAGAGATGGCACCAACACCAATTGGTGTTATTCCTCTGCTTTCAGCCCTACTCAACACCACCACCAGTTTAGTAACTCTTCAGTGTGGCTTCTCCCTCAAGCAAACAGACCCAGAAAAGAGAAGACGAAAAGAGAAGTCTAATAGTTACAGAACATTTGTTCTATACAAGAGGATTTTATTTCCCACTGCAACCTTCTGAAGTGATAGATACAAGTCCCATGCTACAAAGAGGAGAGCACAGTCAACCAGGGCAAGGCACAGACAGGCCCAGGTCTTGGCACTGCTGAGTAGTTGGCCTGGTTCCACAGTGTATGTTTCTCCATCTTACGGCACTGACTTTGGAAAGCGGCTGTCCTTAGACCCTTGGAGAGGCGATAAAGCGGGAAAGAGGGGCAGCCAGGAAGAAAACATGTAGTCTTTCTCCCACTGTACTCTGGAAAGATGCACTGGGGTTGACTAGTTCCTCATGTAAAGGATTTAGGTCAAAATGGGATGAGTGCTAGACTGGAATTCAGAAGACCTGTAACCTCATTTCAACTCTGCACTAGAGGCAGTGTGAAATTGGATAAATCATGTATCCAGTGTAGTAGGCTAATGTCTTACCTATTCCTTGATACTCTCAGTTCTACCATTCAGTGGTCTATGAAGACATTATATCCCAACTTAGGTATTTTCAAAGTATCAAACCACTATATTTCCAGAAGGAAGAAGGTATCTTCTAGAACCTTTGAGAAGACACGTAAGAATGAAGCTAGACAGACATAATCAGGCAGCCCATAGTTAGTCACTGAAGCAGATCACCAGGTTGGATGCCCTCATAAGGCCAAGGCCCTGGGGTTTAGTTTCCTCTCACTCTCTCAGCATTGCACTGTGATGGACCACAAATGCTAATTCAGAATTGCACACCTTACCAGGATCTCAAAGCTTATGCCACAGGAAAATGAAATAACAAAAAACATGGCCATCAGGACAGAGACTGTAGAAGTCACCAAATGAATATCTTAGACAAGGCAATTTGCTGTCTCTAAGACTGGTTCATTGTTACATTTCAGAATGAGACTCTGAAATTTTTCTAAGTCATGAAAGCTCTTCGTGAAACCATGGTAAATTATGCTAATTCTAATATTCTCTGAAGATTTAAAAAACGAGCCCATCAATTCTTAAATGAGAATAAAAATGTATATGGTTTTGCTTTGCTGTTTAAACAACAGAAATTCTTTGGAGAAATTAAGAAGTGAATAAACTTAACTTACAATTGATCTCTTTTTTCTCTCAGTTTGAGGTTTTGCATAAAATAAATGGGTAGAAATTAAAGGTAACAGTATGCCCAGAACATGAAGGGCAAGTGACCCAGTTCCCTGGAGTCTGAATATTTTATTAAATGTGCTTTCAGAAAGGTAGGGTGATCCTGGTTTAATGTTGTAGTTAATATGCAAATTCCCATAAGCAAGCAAGAGCTAGCTTCTTTAAGGCAGCCAGTCACATTCAGCTTGTAAAGGTGACAATAGACTCTGAGCTTTAAAAAGAGAGAAGCTTGTAAGATTAATGGCAACGTTAACATAACCAACCTGTTTCATCCAAGGTAGAGGTGTCCCCAAGCACTCTGAGCTGAACAACAGCAGAAAAAAAATTAGACTAAAAATATGAGCAACCTTGATTAAATGAACTGAAAGGATTTAGAATATTCCAAGGGCAATATGCCAAGATCACGTAAAACCATAAAACATCAACTTAATTTCCTATGCCTCTGGGGTTCCTCACTCGACCTTTATTGGTACATGTTCTTCAACATCTATTTTGTATTTCCTCTTCCAACTTATGAATTTACATGATTGCTTGAGTTCCAAAAGCCTGTCACAAAACTAAACAGCTTTAATTAGCATGTTCCCATCACTTCATCCAATAATCTGCCACTGAAAAGAACTGCCCTGATGAAGTAAGGCCATCAGTCTACACTGCCATTACTTCTCAGCACATAGCTACATGACTAAACTCACTTTTGATTTTTGGGAATCATCACCCTTGCCCAAGATCAGGCACTGTTGATTTTTCCAATAGTGGGATGGGCCCAGACAGAAGAGAGACATAAACAAACGGCAGGTACACTCACACAACTCCTCTCCCTTGCAATAATCAGCTCAGTCCAATTTCTAGAAATAAAAACTCTAAATAGGACCTGTCTGTTTTAACCAACCTCCTTCCAGTCCAATTTCCATGAAGGTTTCTATTCCACATGAAATCAAGCACCCTGAGTTTGCACAATTCGGAGCAAAGATAGGTATTAGGAAGATACGGACCAAGACTAGTCTGCAGTCCTCAAACAGTTCCATGGGGCTTGATGCTATCTGGGTTTATACCAGAGAGAGGACTATAAACCTCTGTACCTTATCATCCAGTTGCCTGTAGAGACTGGAAATCTCTTCATCATACTTCTCCTTCTCCTCTGTAGAAATGCCAGCGACAACAGGAGCAATGTTGTCTATGATGGGTGTATTATCACAGGGCTCCAGATTCTTCTGGTCCTTAGCACTGATCTGTTCATCTTCAGGCACAGCTTCTCCTGCAAAACAGCCAAGATGAGCTGAAGATTAAAGAAATTGAGCATGCAACCCTCCAGGAAGAGTTCTAAAAATAGTCACTGCTGCTAAAAAATACACAGAGGACACACTGAAGAGCTGTTACATACAGCGAAAGTCTGTGTTCCTTCTCTTTGATGAGAAAAGTCATAGTTAATTGACCACAACTAGACTAAAGAAGATTTCCCCTTTCCTTTCGATGCATAACTTAAGTCAACTGGTTCCACTGACTACACAAGCTTGTAAGTAATCCAACTTGTAGCAATGCCTCAAATTTGGGGCATTTATTTTGCTTTTGTTGAGAAATATGCTGGGGCTTTACTAGAATTATATTCTTTCTGGTGACTGATTCAAAGGGAAACATCTCTGAGGCATGCTAATTACCAATTAATTATGTTTCTGTCTCATTAACAGAAACAGCCAAATCAAGGGATACATCACCATTGTTTAAACAGAACACCTTAGGGCCAGAATCCTCAAAACGGGGAATATCTCGGAATCTGCATGAGGAAGTCAGGGCAGCCTGGACACAAGGACTCCTACCAGTGCTGTGCAAATGCACTTTCCACCACCACTTTCTCCCTGAGGTAGTCAGAATTAATTGGCTCTGCTGGACAGTTCAGAGAAAACAATTTCTTGTGATGTCAGGTAGTCCTAGGAAAAGAAAAAGCAGCCAATCTAGAATATCATGCAGAGATCCTACATTCCACTTTCAGTCTGCAGAGTACAGTTTGTTAGGATCTTCAAAAAACACTGCTAAATTTAACAATGCAAATTGAGAAAAAGCTGCAATTCTCAAGTTAGCTAAGGGCTATCCCCAACAAGAAAATCACCTTGCAAAGACACTCCGTGAACTGGATTCTATTGAAAACCACTTGGCCCAACTGAGTCTCTCAACTGTCTTCTTGAAAAGCAAACCCAATTCAAACACATTTTTCCATTAAAATGTTTACCATAACTTCACACTCATTTCACTACAGCCAGTGAATGTTGGTCATGTTCCAAGCCTCACCCAGGTTCACAGCCCATAAAACTCATTTTGTGAAAATTCCCCAGGAAAACTGCCCTGAGCCAAAAAGAAATTAAAAAAAAAAAAAGAAAAAGAAAAATAGAACTGAGATTCTAATCTGTACCTTCATTAGCAGTATACATCGTGCTCCGAGGGACTCACTTGAATATTGCACACTTAATTTCAATGTGAACACAACAACATGTGGTGCCCCAGGTTTGTGGCTTACGTTTCCACGGCTGCACTTGATAATCACAGAGCACTAAGGCCTCCACATCAAGAACAACAGACACAGATAGTTTCACTTTTGTATAAGTTCTGTCTTAAGCAGCAACTGGAAGCAAAATCTCACATCAACTATTGCTTTGCTGAATACAAACTGGACCCACTCCACTTTCCCTTTTTGACTGGACTGTACTGTACCTAAGCCTTTTTCTAGAATTGCTGACCTGAAACAAATAACAGAATATCAGAGTAGCCTTTGAACTGAACCGGTACCAAGGCAATATTTCATTCATTTAATTCCAATTCCTGCCTTAAAATATCCATTAACAGCCTTAGTGTGTGGCCTGGATTTCATCCAATTAAAGGATCCATATTCTCTACAGCCTATGAAATTCATGGGCTATAAAAGCAGTAAGAGAGAGATAGATATATGAGATAATTTTTAATCACACAAATTATTCACAACTTTAAAGTCCTTCCCTTTTAATTCTGTTCCTTCACCAGAAAAATTCAACACTAACATTTTGGCAAATGTTCTTTCTCCACTTAGTTTTTTACTTAATGTCTAATTTTTTCAGGCACAGCTTCTGAAATTAGGGACAGGGTAACCCAGTGCACTACAAATTGGCCTTCAAGTTCAAATATGATGAAGGTGGATTCTTAACTGTATAGAACTGGAAGCCAACCAGACTATGATCATATTTTTCACAGGCGAATTCACTCCAAGGAGAAAGACATTTCTCCCAGTCTCTTTGGTTCCCAATGGCTGGAGTGGCAGTGATATCACAATACTGGGATAAACTAAGATGTTTTCCAGTGTGCTTGTTGATTTATCTGGTCAGGAAGTGGCCAAGGCTGCACTTCTGGCGTAGCAAATACCTGCTCTAAACACAAGCCACATGCCTGACTCCCCTGAAAGCTGCCCTCGGCTTGTGCTAAGGAGTTACCCTGTCACCAAAGAGTGAAGATGTTCTGGATTAGAGGCCCAGTGCACTTCTGGTGCTGCTACAGGGCACCCTGAAAGTGATCAGTGGACTCTCAGAAATATGTCCACAGCTGTGACAGGACACTAAAGCCAAACTGCCTCTTCTCACAGGTTTGATTAATCACAAATTCATGTCTTGTCTAACCTCTTGGATTGCCTTTTGTAAAGAAGAGGAAATAATAATGCCTTCATCACAGGGCTGTTCTAAAAATAAATGAAAGCAATATACATAAAAAGCATAAAAGGCATTATTGTTTAACACCCATCTCTTACCTCCTCTTCTCCCTGACAAATATGCAACATTTTAGACTTGGCAGATAAATTTTTACTATTCTGGAATTAATATTTCTAGTGTCTTTGTAATACCTTTGTGGCTGGACCAAAGTTCCAAAAATAAAATATGATATAGGCATGTAAGTCCCTTTTAGGTTTGTTTTTATTACTATTAAAACGATATTTGAAACTCATAAGCAGAGTCTGTGGTTGCTCTTGGACAATTCTCTCAAGCAAACCATCAATAGCTACACCTAAACACCGAGCCCTGCCAGTCTATATTCTAAAGGTCAGGCAGTTGAGGTTATTTTTTGCAGCAGCCATTCAGACAGAGCAGAACAAAGCAGCAACATGCCAAAACAAAGCAGCACAGCTCCTGGCCGGAGAGGAACCAAAGACTGTTCTCCTGCACACCACTGCCCTTGAAAGGACCGAGAAAATGACTTCCAGAAGCGTCCCCTGGTAACTACACTGTCCAGCTCACAAAGATGTGTGGGGACTGTAAATTCCCAACAACAGGCAAGACCTGACACCAGGCAATCTGTCTCCATGGCAATCTCACCACATTAATCGAGAATATTCCCTGCACTGCAGTGGACGGAGTCTCCGGAGGAGCCCCTGCAAGGTGATTTTAGAATAACTGATTTTAACAAGGAAGACAGCTGCAAACAAACCCTGGAGGAATAGAGCACTGACATCTGCGGTGGGAGAAGCAGAAAGGGGCCACCAAATGAAGATTAGCACCTATTTTTGTTCTCTCTGCATGAAAGACAGATTTCTTTCAGTCTAGCCCTGGAGGCTCATCCCGCTAAGGGAAAGAGGTTATAATATTGTAAAGCATCTTCTTTTCTAGACTGAAAGGCGCACACACACACACACACACACACACACACACCAGAAACCTTCCCCTTCTTTAAATAAACATCCTGGCATTTACTATTGTCAGATGTAATTACCTTTTAAGGACTAAAAAGATTTGTGTTTACACAGGAGCGTTCACTTGGAGCATACCTATCAGGCTTGCAGAGCATTCTAATTATAAAATGGAAACCCCCAGAGAGCACAAACAACATTTCCACAAAAAATAGAAATCCATCAATTCCAATAGACAAGAATGACAGACTAATCAAAAATTCTCATTAGGTCTATTACTTTAAAATCCTAAAATAGTTTTTTTTTTAAAGAAAACCATTAGACTGCCAGGAATTCATTAAAATTTCACACATGAAATAGCAACAAGCTAGTTTTCCTTTTCATAAGTTGAGTTCCCTAAGCCTCAGGAGAACACAGAAAGGTAATTGCATTCTCTCAACAACTCCAGGGCAGAGATTTGCCGGTCACTCACAGCTTCCGCCAGAAACCACCATAGCTCTGGCAAATGAGGTGTTTTGTTTTAATCAAACGAGGTGTTTTGTTTTAATACCAATTAAATAGGCCCAGTGGCAAACCTAACGGTAAGTAATTTCTATATCAAAGAAACTAAAAGGAAATCTTTAAGTTGCCAGATGGATAAGAGCAGCTGGCCACAAGATGTCATTACATAAATGTGAGGTTCAAAAAAAGCATTTCTTTATGAGATTATTTTGCATGCAAATAGCATCCTTCACCCTAGCTACTAAAAATACTGTAAGCAGCTTAAGACATTCTCTAATCCCACCTAGAGTAACTTTGTAATAAACTGGTCACCTGGGACTCTACACCCTCTTTACTTTCATGACCTCTTTAACAATCTACAAGGTTCTCCACACAGTCAGTATTTCCTTACTGTTTGTGCTCTCAAAAGAATGAGGGCTGCCGGGCATGGTGGTGCACACCTGTAATCCCAGCACCCAGGAGGCTAAGGTAGGAGGATCGCTGTGAGTTCGAGACCAGCCTGAGCTACACAGTGAGTCCCAGGGCAGTATGAACTACATAGTGAGACCCTGTCTCAAAAAGAAAAAAAGAAAAAAGAAAGAATGAGGGCCCAGCAAATTAGATACCCTGAATGAGATACCAATTTTTGCAAATACACAACAACCATGAATCCAAGAGGGAGGCAGCACAGTCTATAGATTTAATGCTAAAACAGCAAATACTCCACAAAAATCCCAAAGTTTCACAGAGACCATGAGGATTAGGTTTTCCAGTTACTGGACGGTGGCTGCCCGTCTGACAGGTTTTGAACTTGGAAAACAAATCTGCTCTAGAGATGACCAATTCTTCCTACCTTCTCGAACTGTGACGAAAGCATTTATTGGCATGACTTCCACAGATGGGGCAAATCTACATTATTTAATCTTAAATCTAATTATTCAAGACAAGAGACAGCAGATATAACAGATTATCAGGTCACTGGGTCTCCTGACAACTGGAACTGCAGATACTCCTTTTTCTGACTGAAACCCCTATAAAAAAGGATTTCTTTCAAAGGTGAGAAATTCCAAGTGTCAGAGATTAGCACACACTGAGAGTGACTTGGTAGTCATGGGAACACTGGACCCAGCCACCTCTGC